AGCAGGACACATGCTCATGCAAACAGTGCGAGAACTTGGTTGCGCCGCTTAGTGGCGGCGCTGCTTTAGAGGAAGCGGCAGCGTGGGAAGCACAGCAGATGGAGGCGGCGCGGCATGCCAAGGAGCTGCAATCGCAGTACTGGGGGCGGCAGCGCCAGCAACGAGCAAGGAGAGACTGGCGGAGGTTGAGCGGCTGAGTGCAGCAAGGGCCAAGGGCAAGAAAAAGGAATGTGGGCGTGGGCGATACGGGCGCCGCTAGGCTCAACGAGGAGATGCTGTGCAGTTAGAGAGCTCGTAGCGAGCTCGATTTTGGATGAGAATTTAGATGAGAAATCCCTCAATTTTGAGAAAAAACGCCAAAAAATCGGCGCCTGCGGCGGGCCAGCCTCCGGCGGCGCCTGCGGCGGGCCGCTGGGGCTTCCTCCCCAGACCCCGTTTACACCCGAGCTATGCCCCACGACCTGAGCCGGAGCCGCTCGACGGCACGCCGCCGCCCTCGTGCACGCACGCCGCCTGCGGTTCCTTTTTTACCCATCTCGCACAGTAGAGGTGTCCGTTTTTATTTATTTACACAAGCAAAAAAGTGACTTCACGTTGCGCATTTCTCTTATTTAATCGCAGCTCTCTAAATCTCCCTCTCTCCATTGGCCGTGCCCGTGGGCGACGGCCGGCCGTGCTGCAGGATACAGGCGGCTCGGGCCCTCAGCTGAACGAGATTTGGCAGCGAACGGCGCCGCACGGGATGCGGTGGCGCCGGCGACCGGCCTGCTGCCGCAGTTGGGGCGGCCCTCGGGCTCCCGTTCTCGGAGCGCTGGCTGGAGAACTGCGGTGCCGCGCTGAGGGTCACGCGCTCGTTGGAAGAGCGTGCCGTGGCAGCCAGGATGGCGGCGCTAGTCGCCGGCGCGGAGTCGCGCCTTGATGCCGGCGCCGCCGAGCCAAACACGTCGAAGCACCTCACGACCTGACCGCTTCGCACTGCGAGCAGGCCGGCCGTCTCCGCGTCTAGCGTGTTGATACGATCGAGGAGGTCGACACCGTTAGCGTTGCCGCGGAAGGACACCTCCATATCGCGCGCAACCTCGTCCGACGCTACGATGAAGCAGGCGACGCATAGGACGGGAAGCGGCGTGTAGAGGCCAAGGGCGGGCAGGAACTCGAGCGGCAGCATTAGCATGTAGATGACGGCGAGCCCGACCATGTAGTAGTGAAAGAGCGTAGGCACTCGCGGTGGCGCGTGCAGGGACTCGATCGCCTCAAAGTCTCGAGAGAGCTGCGTGACTTGTGCGTCCACGGCGAGTGCATAGTGGACCATTTGAAACCTGCCGCCGCGACGCTGAATCTCAGTGAGCACCTCGCGCATCCAAAAGACGACCAAGGTGAGGCGCGTCCTCTCGGGGAAGGCCTCGCGGACGCCGCCAGCGCCACGTCGGATCATCTTTGAGTCTCGGAGCTGGCGCAACTCGCTCGGCGTGATAAGGCCAATTTGCAAGTAGCGTTCGAGCTGCGATACCTCCGTGGCGGCGTCGCCATCTCGGGTCGCGACATGGGATACCATCAGGGCCGTCGCGAGCACGAGTAGGCGGCGCAAGTCTACGAGCATCCGGATCGTTGCTCGGTCATCGTTCCCGATATACCCGCAGAGCTGGCTTACCAATACGCGAGCAGTCGTGGTGAGCCGGAAAACTACCGCCCGCCCCTCATTCCACTTCTGGAGGGCAAGGGCCAGCCGGCTCGAGACGAGGTAGCCGAGGATTAACGTGGCCACCGAGAGGAGGAGAGACTGCAGCTGGCGCGAGTCGGAGTACTCGCTCTCGAGGAAGTCCAACAATTCCGCCTCGGAATTGCCGCCCGCGTGGCAGCGCTCCGCCCATCCTGGCAGCGCGAGTAGGAGCTCGAAGCCTGCATCGCATCGAATGTGATGCAACGACGTCCAAAAGACACCCGATGGCAATCCCAAGAGCAGTGCGCGGCAGGCAACGCGAGCGAAGAGCCGCTTGTGGTGAGACTTTGTCTTTGATTGCGGGGCAGGACGAGGCTTGGCGTCGTCGCTGCTGTAGTTGCCGCCGGCCACGTCCCTGCTGGCTGATGTCAGGCGGCGGAGGGAGCGCGAGGACAGGAGGTGTACGGGCAACGAAGTCTGCGAGCTGGTATGGTGGCCGCTCAGAATGTGGCGCCGGCGGTCGGCCACCTGAGACGTCTCGAACCCAGCAGCTTGGCCAGCAAAGCGCACCCGAGACGTCTCGGACGCCGCCCGGTTTCCAAGCGACAGGCGCGGGAGTGGCCGAAAGATGGAGGCGGGGGATAACCGGAGGCGGCCGGGGCTGCGGCCTGGGCTGTGGTCGCGGCAGCTGGGACTGTTTTGGGCGGTAGCGAGGCCCCGGAACCAGCTCTCGGATGCATTCTCAGATTCGTCGCTGAACGACGAGCCTTCAGAAAAGGTCGGCTGCCTAGACGCGCTATCGGCTGCGACATCGCTCGACATTTCGGCTTTCGCGCTGAAAGACGAGCCTTCAGAAAAGGTCGGCTGCCTAGACGCGCTATCGGCTGCGACATCGCTCGACATTTCGGCTTTCGCGCGCGCGTCTGCCGACTCTAAGGCACCGCCCGCCGCGCTAGTATTTCTTTTCTTCACGGATTTTCCGCATCGTTGGAACGTTTTGTGGGTGTCGCAAAAGCACAGCCTCGGGCCCGAGATCGCATGACATTACAGTGGCAGTCAACGCAACATGGGTGGGGTGCTGGGGTCACACACACACACACACACACTCAGCCAGGGAAGGAAGGAAGGTGAGTGAGCAAAGGGAGGGGGAGGCGCTCAATCGCCGTCCGTAAACGCGGCGAGCGCCTCCATCACAGTGATTCATGTGTGTGTGGGTTCGGTCACGATCATACCCGGAGGCGGCAGGCGGCACACAATTCTCTGTCTGTAAGTGCGCTCAGCTGGTTTTCGGACGTCGGGGGTCGCCTTGCTTCGTCAACTGGCGAAGCCAGTTGTGAAACTGATGAGTGATTTCCCCTCTTTAGAGCCCGGCTGTGAAGGGGTTTGCGACCGAACCCAAGCTCTCTTACTTGCACGCTGATAGCGCAGCTGTGGATTGTTCTTTCTGTGACGGTGGGACGTGGTGCGTGGTGGAGAAGCATGGGTGGAGCTCACGGCTATCTACCTGTGAAAGTGAACCAGCCTGTGTGTGAGGTGTGTAGAGACTAGAGTGTAGAGTAAGTAGAAAGTACTGACGTACACTTCAGACGATTCTTGGATCTTGCTTCATGCTTGTTCCGTGACCACGCCCGAGCTCTCGCGCCCGCTCCAGCACACTCAGGTCGGGTGTACGCACGCGCGTGCACACATTCCCTCGAATCTCGATCCAGACGCAATGCTACCGCTAAAAATGTGCGCTCACAGCGAGCGTAACACCGTATCTAATACGTAGGGTCGGACAGGGCACAGGGCTCCTCAGGGGCCTGCTACATGGAACATGCTACATACGCCTTCTCGGCGCGCCTATGGCGTCCGCGCAGCCGATCAGCATGAGTGGTAGACGAGCCCGCCTCCCTCCTTCTCGAACACATATGCGCCGCAGTCGCTGTCGACGCCGGCCGTTTTGAAGGGCCCGGCCGCCCAAACGAAGCTTTTGTAGCGCGCGTCGATTTCCTTAAGCGGGGTCGTGACGGGCGCCTCGGTGCAGCGAATCGCCTTCTGCAGCTCACGTACGATCAGCGGGTCCTCGTTGGTGTCGTCCTTCTTTACGAGCTGAAACGAGATTTCGCCACCGAGCACGAGCTTCTGCATTTTCTCAAATTTGAGGGTGGCCGCCGAATCGTCAGGCGAGACTGCCACGGCCTTCTTGTAAAGCGTTGAGTTGTCCTTCATCTGGTAAACAAAGGCCCCCTCCGGCGCGATTCCGACCGTGTCGTTGAGCTTCGACGGCGGCAGCCACGCAAACTTGACGTGTCCTGATGCCTCAAGCGACGGCAGTGTGATTGGGTAGAAGCAGTCGTCCGGCGGCACGTAGAAGTCCTTGGTCGAATCTTGGTCGAGGTCGCTGAGCTTTTCGGCGTAGACGAACTGCGCTGGGCAGGCGGGCATCGACGAGAATGCGACGGCGCTGGCGCTGGTGAAGGAGAGCATTCGAGTATCAATCAGAGATTGGGGCGATCGGCATCTGGCGTAGTGCCACGCCTGCTATTCACAGCACAAGCCCTCGCCGAGGGCTCGAGCATGCGCAGCGAAAAGCATTTCCGGACGGACCCCCGGTGTGAAAAAGTGAGGTGTGGTCTCTACTCGCCAGGATCGGCATCGTGGGATAATGGGCAAAAAATATTTTACAAAATTAAATTAAATACAAAGCAACGTGTTCGACCGAGCGGCTTGCTGTGCGGACGGCTTCTTGTGGCTCTCGTCGAGAGCGGTTTCTGGCCCCCGCGGGTGGCGATTTATGTGCCCTCCACTTCGTCAGTGTCTGAATCCACCGGCGTTCTTGTATTTCCCTGAC